CCAGTGCGGTGGGGAGAGCTCGCACCTCCTCCCCAGGGCCCCGACCTCCCTGCCTCCCCAAGCCTGAGTGCGGGGGGCAGTCAGCGCGGGGCCAGGTCCCTCAGACGCCCTCCCCACTTGGGAAGCGGCGCTGGGGCCGGACCGACGGCTTGACTTACAGCAGGCGATGTCCAACAGCTTGCAGTGGATCGACGGGACCCACAGGTTGGAGGAGCCGGTGTCGAAGACGACAGTGAAACACTGTGGGGGCGTCCCGATGCCGATCTCCCCGTAGTACTGGGCCTGGGGGAGCGCAGGGTCTGTCAGCCAGAGAGGGGCACCCAGGGTCTAGACCTGCCATAGGCTGTCCACCTCCATCCGCCACTCCCAGACCCCGGGGTGCAGCCCCAGCCCTGCTTGGCCAGGGTGAGAGGAGGGAAGACACCCACCCACCATTTGAAACATAAAACCAGTGTCCAGTCAGTCAGGACAGGCTCTGCCGGCCACCTGAGCCTTGGGTGGGGCGGACCGCCGCGGTCCAGGGCCCTGAAGGGAGAGACTGCCTCTCCAGGATGGGGGCCAAGTCAGGGCCCGACTCTGGGCCTCAGTTCCTACCCTGCCCGTGCTCCTGCCCTACAGGGCCAAGCCTGGAGGGCTTCCAGGCAGAGAAGTCGGGTGGCTTAGGGGAGAAGGGACACCCTAGAGGTTCGGAGTCCCACATGGCCCAGCCTCTCTGCCTTCACTGTTCTGGACCCCAGTTCCCCATCCCACACAGGGAGCAGGGTCTGCTGAGGTGCTCCACTGAACATAAGGGGGCATGTGCCCCTATGAACCTCAATCCTTGGCCCTCTCGTAGGTCAGAGGGTATGGGCCTTCTTGAGCTTGTGGTCACCTGGGCCCTGCCTGCCTGGGCATCCCTCCCCCGGGGAAGGAGCCTGGGACACCCGTCGCCACAGGGTTCTGGCACCAGTCCTCCCCCGGGCATCTCTCTCTGGCCGCTTGGCTCCGGGGAGCACCCGAGCTGCTGACTCATGGAGTGTCTGGATGGGGGGATGGAGAATGACTCAGCAAATACCCGAGTGTGTGGGCACAGGAAAATCAGGAACTGGTCAGTTGACCCTGGGCAGACGGCCCCCCTCCACCGGCCAGATCACATGCCTGAGGCTCCAGCTTCCTGGCATGGCTGGGGCTCGAGACGGACAGGACAGAGTGCTCAGCAACTGTCCCCACCCCAGGTGGACCCAAGGCTGAGAGGCCAGCTCCCTAAG